TTAAATTTAAAATCATATATGTATTGATTGATAAAACTCATTGATTTGATAAATATACAAATAAATAAATAAATATTAATTGTAGTTAATATAATACTAAGAATAATTTATATATGATAAAGACTTTTTATTATGGTTAAAACAAATTTAGCATATCTATATGTTATAATATTATAATAAAAATACCAACAGTGATAATTTATTCATTCTTCTAGAAGAAGAATAAAAAGTAAAATATAAATTTAAGTAAAAAAAATATTAGTAAAAAATAAAATGTTTTGGAAGTAAAATTAAAATATAACACATAATTTTTTTCAACTAATTCTAACGGATAAAAATATATATTTAATTTATATATTTAACATGTTTATGAATTAGTTTCTATGTTTAAAAAGACTTGTATGTTAATTCATATACTTAAAACAACTAATGTATTGACTCCTATCGTTATGATTTAGTTTCTTCCATAGATAATGTTATTATAATGACATATACCAAAACATAAATGACATTATTAAAGCATAACAAGACAATTGTATAAGAATTAAAATGTTAATTTTTTCTAAGTGTATAGACTATTTTACATGTGTGTGTCAATTATAAAGATTAAATATATAATTTAGGCAAAATTAGTATTTTTATCTTCTAACTTTAAGATAGATTTCGACTTAGTCCTTTTTTTTTTGTTCAATTTAATACTTTGACTTTTACAAAAATTTTAAATATGAATTTTTTTTTGTTAAAAACTTAACTTTATTAAAAAATTTGTCATTTTCTACTACATGTAGTTTGTGGTACTTTTCATCGTATTCCTCTACAAATTTCTAACTCTATCTCTCACACCTTTTTTCCTTACTCCTCTCTTTATTTCCATATTTATTTTCTTATACTCAAAACTCTATCTTCTTGTTACAAGCATCAAGTACCACCTCAAAATCCTAAACCATAAACAAATCAACTTTTTAAATACTCATTTTCCATCTTGAACAATTTTGAATATAAAAATCGAAAGAACATAAATAAGCTTTGAGCTTCTAAAATACGATGTTCTTATTAATGAAGACTTTAGAGACTATAATAGCATGAAAAATTAATAAAATAAATTGACAAATAGTATTACACCATATAGGTAACACAAAATAACACATTTTTTTTAAAAGAATTTAGGATTTTTAACAAAAAATACTTATTTAAAACTTTGTAAAAGTTAAAAGAGTATAGTGAATTAAAAAGAAGTTAAAGGACAAAAATTAATCTATCTTAAGGTTAAAGAATGAAGCTTGTGATTTAACATATGTATATATAATTTAATTTAATTATTTGATGATAAATTTATAGCTTATAACTTATTTTACAGTTATATACTACGCAACAAATATTTAAATGTTTTTAAAATTGTAGATTATCTAAAATAAATACAAAAAAATAATGATTTAATTATATTTTTAGTCCTTATAAATGTTGGTCATTTTGTGATAAGTACTTATAAATTTTTTTGTTAAGATTTAGTCTTTGTAAAATTGAAAAAATAGAATTTAGTTTCTACCGTTAACCCTCTCTTTATTAAGTGTTGAGCTAGCTGATTCACATGACATGTCACGTTTTTTTTATTTAAAATTAAAATTTACAAATAAGTCTTTGAAATTATTTTATATAATTGCATAAAAGCTCATTCTCCGTTTCTTTCTCTAACCTTTTTCCATCACCTTTCTTCCCCCCTTACCCCTCCCTTTTCTCCCACCTCCACTCCCTCCCCTTCTCCCTCCTTGTACCACCACTCCTCCTCTTTCACCCACCCTCACCCATTCCTCTTCCCCACACCATCCCTTTTGATTCTTCCATCCACACCATCCCTTCCTCTTCTCCACACTCCTCTCCTTCTATCACCCCTTTCCGCACAACCCTTCTCCCTTACTCACTTTCATTCTCCTATATGTACCACTCCCCTCCCCTACCTTTTCCCATTCCCCCATCATCCGCACCACCCACACTCCTTTCCCTCCAACACCCACACTTTTAACTCCCATCGGCACCACCCCCATTTCCTCTCCCTCCCCACACCTTCAACCCTTTTCCTTCCCTCCACCCCAACTTTTTTTCTATTATCTTACTCTCACTTCTTCCCTCATCCCACTCCTAGCTCCTCCCATTCTCCCAATTCGCATCTTCATTCCTAACTTGTTCTTCACTTTTTTTCTATTAAAATCTTATTTGTGTTTTAGATATTGAGCAGTTGTGTGAAGGTTCTACATTGGATGATGAAAATTTAATTTGAAACGCGTACAAAGTTTAAAAATAAATGGTCTAAATATAAGGTGGAGAGAGAGAGTTGAATGCAATGAAAAAGTGTTGATAAGGGAGGGGGACGAAGAGGGGTTGGGGAAAAGGTGTCGAAAGTAGAGCTATCAATGAGGGTCAAGGCCTGAAATTATTTAGCCCATAATATATGGGTTAGGGTAGGGTTATCCATGGGTTAGCCCTGACCTTACAATCTTACCTAAATTTCAGATTTTACTCAAATTATTCCAGATTCATTCAAATGATACGAACCTTAACTTACACTGCTCCGCTCCTCTTCCCCTTATACTGCTTTTTTTTTTTTCACTGCTCTGCTCCTTTTCCACTACTCTTCTTCCATTTTTTTGCTCCTCTTTCTTCTTCTATTGCTTCCCTCCTCTTCCGCTGCTTCACTTCTCTTCCAACGAGTTGCACCTCTCTCTGCATCTCTCTCTGCTCTTCTTCCAAGGCTTCACTCCTCTTCCTAGAATGAGGGACGACTTTGCGCCTTGCTGTTTATCAGTACTAACAATGTTATGGCTTCTCGCGGCCAACACTGTTTCTCACTTGTTGCATAAATACATATTTGATTGTTTCTGGTTTATTATCTTGTCTTACTAGAATATCTATTTTTTGGGTTAAAATCACAATGTCCATTCATTCTTTTATCTCCTGCTCTTAAATCAGATTATGATTAAATTTTTTGTTACTAAAAAGCTGATTAAATGCTACCCCAAAATCTCAAAATTAATGAGAATAGTTTTTTACATGCGTTGTATGACATGGAATGCATGTATTTTAGATTTTCTGTCTTTTTAAAAGTTAAAGTTCATTTTGTGTATGAATTTGGATACCATTAGAATGATGAAGCTGATTTGGAAGTACATTTGCAAGAAACACTAAATAGATAAGTAGGTTTCAATTCCATTTACTCATCGAAGACAACCTAATTGTTTAAATTCTATATTTTTTTATTTAAAGTTGAATAAAATTAATTTTAATATATTTATTTTAAATTATTAGCTGTAATTATAATATGTGATAAAATTAAACTTAATCAAAAATATTTATTAAAATATGCATTTTTTATATTAAAAAGTATATAAAAAATATTGTAAACCAAACAAACTCTATATCTTAGAAAGTAGATTTATCTTATTAAAAAGTTAAATTAAAATTTGATAAATAATTATTCCATTTTGCATTACAGAAATTTGTAATATTGGATGTGGTGTTATGGTGTGTTATAAAATTTTTTGGCCTATAAAGGCCTGATCCTAACCTTGACCCATAGGGTTTTTTGGCCCATAAAGCTTTTTATTTGTTGGGTTTTTGGCTAACGAGGCTATAAAGCCCTAACCCACATGGGCTAGGGGTAAGGTTGGATCAATTGGACTTTTTTGACAGCTCTAATCAGAAGGGGTTGTAAGGAGGTGAGTTGAGGAGCTACGGAGAAGAAAGAAAAAAAAGTTAAAAGAGTTTTTTTACAAGTAAAATGTATTGAGAGATTTATTTATAATTATATGATTTTAAATGAAAGATTTAAATAACGCGGTATGCCACGTGATGCCACGTAAAGTTGCTGAGTTTGACATAAAAGAGTTGACAACAAGAACTAAATCTTAATTTTTTAACGACTAAATTCTAACAAATTTTTTTTATGAAGATTTATCTTAAAATATCTCCTATTTGTACAGACTAAAATTATAATTAAGTCAAAATTAATTATTGTCTAATTTTAAATGTAATTCAACTATCTTGTTTAAAAATTACCAATAAACTAGAAAATATAATAATTCAATATAAAAATATCAGAAAAAAAGGCAAAATGGATCACGAGAATCTATGTCATCGAAAAATACCGATCTAAGTGGCGGGGTCCCCAACTCCCATATGTGGCAATTCCTTGCCTGATTGTCAAGAGTTTGATAATATTTTTTTTATTTAAAATAATATAAAAATAATAAATATAACAGTGTTTTATTTATATTGAAAAATTTGTTATTTAAAATATCCTCAATAGTATTTCTTACTTATTTACTATAAGATTGTACCGTATTTAAGGAATAGATGTTATATATATATATATATATATATATATATATTACATTTACACGTATATTTATTTTTTATTTTAATTTTTTTATTCTTCATGTAATTTCATTTGATATAATTTTTATTTTATTTTAAAATTTATTAAATATCATTATACTCATCTTAAGAAAATATTAATTTTATTAATTACTATGATAAATTAAATTGATGTGATTAAAATATTTTTATTAAAATTTCAAATTTATTTCATTATTTATTTAATAAGATATTTTTTAAAATAATATTAGATTTATTATAATAATTAATTTGATAAAAAATATCCCTATTAAATAAAAATATTACTAAAAAAATTAATACTCTCTTGATATTTTAAATGTATGTTTTTTATTACAAATTTTAGAATTTAATGTAATTACCATGGAGTTTTAAGCCATGGACTGCTTTCTTCGTACAGCAAATCTCATCAATCAGACTATTACTGCAAAGATCAAAGTTTACTTCTGTATTCTACCCACGTGCTCCAATTCTCAACTGCTAGCATGGAAAGAAAAATAGAAAAGAAAAAGAAAATTCTGTCACCTCCATTTCTTAAAGTTTTTTTTATCCTCACGTGTTTAAATTCTCTTCTCTCCTTCTTCTCCTTCTCTCTCATCCTTTCCTCCCCTTCTTCTTTACGCCCCCTCCTCCTCTGTTCTGCGCTCTCTCCACTCTCTTCCAACTCAACAAAACCAAAATGAAAATCCCAAACCCTGTCTTCTCCTCTTCGATCGTCTTCTTATTAATCGCTCTCCGAGACTCGCCGTTTTCACTCGCCGAGCACATACCTTCCGCTGCTTACGACGGCGTTTTGTTCGCCGACCGGATATGCTACAACCGGGAGAACAACGACGCTGTCTCTCCGTGCAAAAACAAGACGCAGCGAGGCGCACCGGCACCGGTGGACTGCGAGGTGTGGAGCGAGGCGTGTTCGGAGGCGGTGCTGAGCGTGGCGCGGTTCCCGGAGACGGTGGAGTGGTTGAAACGGATTCGGAGAAAGATCCACGAGAATCCGGAACTGGCTTTTGAGGAAACCGAGACGAGCCGTTTGATACGAGAGGAGTTGGATCTGATGGAAGTTAGTTATCGGTATCCACTCGCGAAGACCGGTATTCGAGCCTGGATCGGAACTGGAGCTCCTCCTTTTGTTGCGATCAGAGCTGACATGGATGCACTTCCCATCCAGGTTGCACTCCTGGAACATTATATTTATTCTTCTATTTTTAATTTCTTTACTTTTTGTTATGCTTGAAAACCTAAAAAATAAAAAATATATAGGCACGATATAAAAGTAAATAAATCAATAAGGTCCAATGATTGAAGTTCTTACTCCCATACTTGCATTTACTTTGTTGTGAAAAATTGTTACTCTTTATTGTATTTTTCATGGTTTTGCATCAATATTTAACTAGAAATTTTAATTTTTTCTTATAATATTTAAAATTTTAAAGACAAATTATTTTATTTTAATTAAAATTATCATTATTCTTTTTTTATACTGACATATAAACATTATAACTGTTATTATAAATTTTTTATTTACGTAATATTCATAATAAAATTTAAGATATTTTTCACATGTACCATGTGTTTTAGTTAGTTTGTCATATATAAATCATATATGTTTATTTTTAAAGTTTTATTTGACTTTTTATGTCTGACACAAATAAATAATGTACTTGCACTGTGTACTTATTTTTGTGTACTTATTTTGACAATGAAATGAGAAATTTTTTTAAATATTAGAGAAAAAATATTATTTTTATAGCATTATTTTTATTATTCAGAGAGTATTGAGGTGTGTTTAACAGTAATTTATTAAATATATTTGTTTTTATAAAGCTTGAAAAGTTTGTTGTGCATAGATAAAAAAAATTAGTTTTTTTTTCCTATCTCAGCTTTGTTACTAGTGATTTACTTTGTATGCATTGGGTGAAAAAAGAAAGAGAGCTCTTTAACTAGTGATCGGTTGCTTTCATGGTAGTTTCTGAACTTTTTTGGGAGTAATTGATAGTAATTTATTCCCATAAAAATAAAATTCCATCTCATGCACTGCTTGGGATTCGTTGTAGGAAGCTGCGGAATGTGAGTACAAGTCGAAAGTTCCCGGCAAAATGCACGCTTGTGGGCACGACGCCCATGTGGCTATGCTTATTGGCGCTGCCAAGATCTTGAAAACTCGAGAGCATTTATTAAAGGTTTGTTCTTCTCTTCACCCTCCGCAGACTCGTATGTTTATTTTCAATCAAGTATTCCATTATTTTTTGGACACTTATTCCTTTATTGTACAATCTCATTTCTTAATCATCAACGGTGAGACATACTTAACATCAAGTCCACCTGATATTTACATTTAAGGATTATTTTAAAAAATTAATAATTAAATAATTAAACATGGTATAAGTTTTTTGTTCATAAAATGTATTATTACATACAAAATATTAAAGTGGAATAAATATTTGTAAATAAAACATGATTACTTTTAAATATTTAAAATTAATTTCAAGGATTGATATTCATAAAATCAATAATTATAGTGAATCTCACAAATTAATGTTTTTAAAAATTATCTAAAAAATTAATAAATAATTTATTTAATTAAAAATCACATTAAAGACACACTAAAAATGATTATAAAATACATTAATGATGTTTTTAGTAAATTTTTATTTTTAATTTTTAAATCAATACCTTTGAAACATTGTTTAGCGTTTGTCATTTGGAGATAGTCAATTGAACTTATCTGTTCAATTTTGAGAGCAAATAAACTTTTATACTTCAATTTAACTATAAGGTCATAATGGAAACTATGAAATTTGACTGTAGTACCTTCGTTCTTTACATTCATTGACCAATTAAAAGTTTCAAACTTCTGGTCCTTCCCACTTTTCGTGTACTAGGTACAGAAAGGAATTGAAGGAACTTCAGACGTCATATTTATGTATAATTTTTTCAATAATATATGATGAATACAAAATTTTAAATAAGACTTACATATATGCATTACCTTATCCAAAGCACATTACCTTTTTATCGTGGCATAACTTTATTCGAGGGGACACTTCGGCCAAAAAGTCTAGTCCGTTACACCTTTAATGCCTCCTAACAATTTCCTCGCACCTTTTTTCTTGGAGACACAATCTTGTTAGCCTTCATGGTTTAAGACTTAAAGATATATTGCCTCTATCGTTTAATCTCTCTCCCGCAAAGACTCACAAGCTAGGACTATTTTTCTTTTCTTAATGTCCGATCTCTTGAGAACTTAATAAGTGGATCATTGAACTTGAATCTTGAAAATAAACATTCTTTTAGGGTCTTTAGCATTTTTCTTTCTTTCTTTCTTTATTTAATTTTCCTTTCTCTCAAAAACATGAAATATCAATTTTAGGTGTTGGTCAGTTCATTATTAAGTACTTATGATTTTTCTTCTCATTTTAACGTGTACCAATATGTGTCTTGACCATCTTAATTTGTTGAATAGTGATATTAGTTATACAATATATGTATATATTTTTTTTAATTCAAAAGAATTTTACAAAACAAACTTTTTCAACCAAGTCTGAAGCTGACCCTCTACCAAAAAAATAAGATTACTCTACCCCACAAAAACCTGTCTCATATATATACAAGTAAACGACCTCACCTAAATATTTTGTTATTCCAACATTAGGCACGTTGACACCTTTTAAAAGGGATATTTTAACTATATTATATGAACGATGAAGAATAGTTTGTTTATGAAATCTCGTGTTTTGGAGGCCGTACGTATAACCAACATTTTTTAAAATTCATTTTACATCTTTTATTTCTAAATGTGAGACAAGGTGGACGGTCTAGCCAGGTTTGACAACTAAATGTGGCTGGCTATCTTCGATAATATATGGCCATCTCTCCAAATCTTTATTCAATTATGATGACATAGTTGATGGTAGGAGAACATGTAAGGTATAAGCTAATAATTTCCTACAAATAATAAATTATACTATAATTATTTTTATATTTTTATGCTGTAATTTATTATCTTATTAAGTATTACAAAGTTATCTAAATTCATTTTTCACGTAGAGTTTTGGATATCTAACAATGTAGAAATATAATTCTTACCAAATCATACACGCAATCGCACAGATAATATTTCGTAAATTGATGAGATGAATTTTATTATACCATATATTAATACGATTTAAGATTTGATCAAAGTACTGGCTTAAAAACTGGTTCACTGTCTAACTTTTTTACATCAATCTCATCGTAATTTTCTTATTTTCTGTTATTAATTTTCATATGTTAGCTTTGCTGGGCATTTCCAAACTATTTTATTTACCGTGTTAAATGGGTAGGACTATGATTTGTGTTTCGTCTATCGTTAGAAAGTTCAAACTTGGACTTAGTGGTTCCATCGACTTAGAATAAATTTAGATAGGATTGTTGAAATTAGATATGACGATGAAATTCAAATGCAGATTTATTCCATTCCGTATAGTCATAATTTTGGATGGAGAAAATTGAATTTGGGACCGAGCTTTTTCGAACACATTAATATTAATAGGGTAAAGAGGGGTAAGGATGAGTTTGGAATATAAATACTTACTCTTCAACCTGATCTCACCTCAATAATAATTAAATAATAAATTTGAGCTTAAATATTTTTATAATAATATAGTTTGGTTCTTATATATATGATTTGAAACCTTTTGTAAGTGGGGTGGCATCACTGCTGCATTGCTGTGAAGCAACTTGTTCTGAAGCAAGCAATGTTAATTGATCCTTGTAGTTATTAATATAAGCAGTGGTCCTTCTGAATAAAGTTTGCTTTGTCTTGTATCGGGCTGAACACGTGCTTCAATAAAAGCTGCATTAGGCTTTTATCTCGGTTAGAGAGAAAGGAGTATTTTTTCAGCATAAAGAGCATGGGGCCTCATGAGACATAGTATTAACTTATGATAACGAGCATAAACTTTTCTGTCCATTTACACATTAGGGGCTATTAATTGAGATGCCTTTCTACAATATAAATTAAAATTATCGCAATTGCCTCGTGTATAAAACGATTAAGAGAACATCGTATTTAAATAATGGCAATAGGGCATAGGAACGGTGTAGCCAACCAACGGGTGGGGAATCTTGTCTACGGTTTCCACTTGTACTAGATTTAGAACATTACAGAAAATGCGAAAACTGACAGATGAGTCGACTCTTGTGTCTCTTTCCACCGCTGTGTCTGGTAATCGGTTTTGGCGTGGATTATCTCATTCATAAAACAATGTCATTGACAAATTGGCACGAGAAATGGGATAAAAGGAGAAAACTAAGAGAAAATGAAACTTATTTTCATTAGCATGTGAGAAGAAAAAAGAGGGAAAAAAAGGACAACTTATCCCTTGACGGAGAAAAAAATATAAAAAAGGAAAACTTTTAAGTACAAGCTTACATAGTCATGTTAAATTGACACAAAATTCATTTATCATATATATTCAAATAAACATAAAGATAGAAAAATTATGCTCTCTCTCTATTTTCTGCATTCAAACAAAGTTTTATCTACACTCCTGTCAACGCCTGTCGCAGACTTCTGTTGACTATAGGTTTATTCCTAATAGAGTTGGAACGGGCAATGTTTCTATAACAGTCTAGTGAAGAGAGAAAAAGAAAAACACGCAGGAAAACTCCACATTCTCGTTCTTGTACAAATTTCTGAGATATACGACCTTGATTGAGTCTCTGTCTCTTTGAGGTACACATACGCATGTATTTTGTAGATAATGAGGTTTTAAATAAAACCTTAGTTTTACCATATTGACCTGAGTTTTAAACCATTCATAATTCTAAATAATTATACGATTTTAAAAAATCGTCGTATAATTCTAAATAAATAACTGATTTATGAAGCAGACAGTGACAAATACACCTTTGGGTTTTGGGACTCGGGTCATTGTTTTAAAGCTCCATTCACATTGTGATTCCAAAGAAAACAAACCCAACTTATTTTACATTGTGATTCCAAAGAAAACAAACCCGATGGCCCCGATTGCAAATTGCACAATTATTAGGAAAGACTTGTTATATATGAGAAAAAGTTTATATATTTTCTGTCAAGATTTTACTAATACCCGACTTAGTTAGTCGTAACCTTTAATAAGAACAATGTCTTATGACTATTTCCTATGTAAACAAGTATGAAACAGATAAAGATACAAGAAGGAAATTGTATCAATAAACTTAATAGCCCTTTACTCTTATGCTGTCCATCACAGGGAACTGTAATTCTGTTATTCCAGCCAGCAGAGGAAGCTGGTAATGGTGCAAAACGAATGATGCAAGATGGTGCTTTGGAGGACGTGGAGGCTATATTTGCAGTTCATGTATCCCATGAACATCCAACTGGTATAATTGGGTCGAGGCCTGGACCCCTCCTTGCTGGCTGTGGATTTTTCAGAGCTGTGATTAGTGGCAAAAAAGCCCTTGCTGGCAATCCTCACCATTCTGTTGATCCAGTTTTGGCCGCTTCAGCTGCAGTTATCAGCTTACAGGGCATTGTCTCGCGCGAATCAAATCCATTGGATTCACAGGTTTTGCATCATAACAATACACCCCTTTCTAATTTTCAACCCATGTGTCATTTTCTATTATACTTTGGTAGTCTTGCTTGCATACCTTCTCTAACTATGAAGTCCTTGGCTTCCTTTACAACTTTAGGTTGTCTCTGTAACTTCATTTAATGGAGGCAACAATCTTGACATGATACCGGATACAGTGGTTCTCGGTGGGACTTTCAGAGCGTTCTCTAATACCAGTTTTTACCAAGTTCTTGAAAGAATAGAGCAGGTTAGCAATTAACTTATTCTATTACTAACGTGAATGCTAATGATTGCATGGGTTTAACTTGAGTCCTTTTTGTTGTCTCAAAAAGGTGATTGTGGAACAGGCCAGTGTCTACAGATGTTCCGCAGAAGTTGACTTCTTTGAAAAGGAGTACACGATTTATCCTCCCACAGTTAATGATGATAAAATGTATGAGCATGTGAAGAAGGTGTCAATTGATTTGCTTGGTCAGAAGAATTTCAGGGTAGTTCCACCTATGATGGGTGCTGAAGATTTCTCTTTTTACTCCGAGGTGGTTCCCTCAGCTTTCTTCTATATAGGGATAAGGAACGAAACACTGGGGTCTACTCACACGGGACACTCCCCGTATTTCATGATTGATGAAGACGTTCTACCAATAGGTGCTGCTGCTCATGCCACTATTGCCGAGAGGTACCTCATTGAACATGGCTGATGTTGGAAAATAGAAAAAGCCCTGCACTTGTTGCCACTTCCTCTCAACTTTGTACAAAATCGGTACACAAGTTTGTTTGTCCTTCTCATGTTCCTTATATAAGTAAACCCTCCCTTTAGTTATTGATATTTAAAGTGCCTATAACATTAGTTTCTAACTTCATAAAATATTCTCTTTAGTCTTTAATATAAGTGTAAAATATAGTAAAATAAAATAAAATTTAATTTGATTAACCGTTAGTTCTACACTATCAATTAATTTAAATATATCAAAATATAATTTTTATATTAATTATTACATAAATCAAAAATTATTATTGATATAACAATGGAATATTACAAATAATTTTAAGTGTCACTGTTTAAATTAAATTTTAAAAAAGTATAATATATGATTTTTTTTAAAAAACTAAGACTATGTTGAAGTCAAAGATTAAAATAATAGACACAGTTCGCGGGAGTAAAGTAAAAGCTTGTTCTCCATAGTTATTTTGTTGCTTGAGGTTAAGGAACGGTAGAGATCAGGCTATCCCTTTCTATTTTCCTTGTACAGTGTAGGCTCAATAAAGAGCAAAGGGAGCGCCAAAATTTGGTGGAAGGGGCTTTAAAAGCTGTATGGTTTCTGGAGGCAAATGTCCAGCTGTATAAACTATTAAATAAAACCTTAATTTGAGGAAATCTTTGTATAATTCATTTGACTTTTTCTTAACGAAATCAATCGAATAAGCGCGTCCTACTAGGATAAAAAACAGCAAATGAAGGAAAGGATGTATATCTATGAAATTGGCTGAAGTTTGAGCTTTGACCAGTTTTATACGATATCTTATAAACCATTCGGTATTAATAACCCATCATAAAATTCAGTCAGTCCTATGATATCAAACACACTGCATGTTTTACATCATAAATTGCATTCTTTATCATAAACAGGAGAAAGCAAATGGAACATAAGCATTGACTTGCCAAGATAAACTTTATTTCAGCACCAAATACATTACAGTACGAAATAATCTGCTGGTGCGGGCACACTTTCATTTATGCAATGCGATAGGTAAGGCTACAATAGCAACAAAACAACTACGCTTTTTCCCACCAGGTGGTATTGGCTATATAAATCAAGTGATAACATAATGTTTAATTGTAAATTATATCTACAGACAAACCCCTTTAAGTCCTTAAAACAATCGACAATTGACATGTAAAGCGTTTAAAAGAAAATCAAGCGTAACACGCTAGTACTTCGAGCTCTTTGCCCTTCTACAGCGAACAATGCCGTATATATTTCAACAATCTCACCTTTTCTCTCCACACAAACATCTGGCAGCTTGCAGAGCAAAATATGTAACGATGATATCAGCACCAGCCCGTCTGAGGCATAAAAGTGACTCCATCATAACCTTTTCTTCGTCAATCATTTTGAGAGCACCACCAGCTTTTATCATTGCATATTCACCAGAAACCTGTTCCATGAAAAATAAGAATTTTGAACAAGGACCAGGGAAAATCTTAAAGCAAACTACATCTATAAAGAACTAAATCTTTTAATTCACATAAAATAATGCAAAGGTTTTCTTTTATTCCAAGCCTTAAAGCATAATTTATGGTATCACTATCAAGCATCACCACATCCATGAAATCTTTTATTCATTAGTTGTACACTAGCTTCCATCCTTCATCAACTGCTTTTGTGTTTTATCTGCTTCTCATACATTTTCCACTCTGCCTAGACAGAGCTCCAGACCCCACTGAGGGGTCAGGGAAGAGGAAGTAAAACTTGGATAATCTTCTTAGAACACATAGAATGCAATAATTTATAATTAATAAATGTGTTTTAAATAAACTACTAAACTAGCATATCAATCAAAGTTATTCTTCAACGTCATATTCCTATAACTTTGTAATATTTGGGCTTTAACAGTGCATGGAGTTCATACCGCCAAATTGCAAGACTCAAAGGCAATAGATATAATGATTGTTATGGAAACAAATTTGCATACCATCATTCTTTATAATTATTGCATTATAATTTGATGCTATGTCAGAGCGCAATAGCATAAGAACAATAACTGTTAAAGCAACCATAAAGTTGTGCTGCAGCCTGATATTAAATTAGAAGAATGACGTTTGTCTAATATAGATTTCTGTTACTTGAAGTAAGCTTAATGCAGAATTCATTGGTTAAAATTTATTGAATATTTGATCAACTTTTCATCAGAATATTTCGTCTAGTGCTAGAATGGGCAAGAGAAGAACCTGGTATGCTGCAATTGGCAAAGGAGAATTATCCCTGAGCAACCTTATGATATCCAAATAAGGAAGACCAGGCTTCACCTGCAAATCCATTTTTTCAAGTTCATAAAAGAAAATAGTACAAACAAAACAACCATAAGATGAATTTCATTCTTAACCATGGTCATGCATGCATACACACACACATGCACAAAAAAAAAAAAAAAAACTAAACCAACCAAGAGAATATCAGCTCCTTCAGATTCATCTTCACGCATCTCAGTCAGAGCCTCTCTGTAATTTGCTGGGTTCATCTGATAACTTTTGTTCAGCCAGGCCAGATTTATGAGCAAAACAAGAATCAATAGTCTAAAATTAGTCAAAAATATAAAAGTAAATTCAATTTCAAGATGATACATACGTCTTCTTGTCTCCAAACCGAGGGTTTGAGTCTAGTGCTTCTCTAAATGGACCATAAAAAGAACTTGCATACCTGTCAGTATCAAAAAGGAGTGGATGAAGCGAATAAAAATATCCATCAAACCATTTTGTTAGCTATAACTTCTATTCTTATAGAATTGTTCTTCTATAAGTAAACTCGGGAATGAGTAACAATTAGCAAAAATAGTGAGATGGTTCATGGCAGCAACAAAATACATATCTAATGGAATTTGAAAGCTAGTGGCTATGGCAGTGAGGATGATACAATTGCTAATAAGTTGCACAACAAAGAAATTGACTTGTGCATAATGGAATTGTTCCATGTAAAAAATGAATCATATGCCACACATTTTGAATAACTGTAACACACTAACACCCCTAGCTACAACATAGAATATCCATTGATATTGAGTTTGACTTCTTTATAATACATTCTCGTAAGTTAAACTGATCAATGAAAAATAATTCTACATCCATATTTTGAATTAAATTTTCAAATCATTTATTTTTCTTTTCATTGGAGTTATTTCTTAATTTTGGGTGTATTTATACAACTCCATAACTGAATAAACCTTCCATAACTTACATTACAAGCTGACACAAACAGAAAACGAGATAAGGAAAAAGAAATGGCCAAGTATTAAAATTACTTTGCAGTATAGGACATTATAGAAACATGCTGAAAGCCTTCAGCATCGAGAGCTGCTCGCATTGCTCCTACCCTACCATCCATCATATCACTAGGACTGACAACATCTGCTCCAGCTTGGGCCTTTTTGTAAAATAAAGAAGACCAAGAAAGGAAAAAATGATGTTAGTAGGAAGGTAAACGCATATGATGATTTCCTCAAGTAACAATGCTAAAGCATTAACCTCCCTATATTTTGGCAAAGATTACTTGCTGATAACTACCATCAAGCATTAGCTCTTTCCTCTTTCATTTTATTTTCTCATATGAGAGTTGCACCATGTTAAACCCATTACATGAATCAAAATCACTTCCTTTAACAAGTCATACTTATGTGAAAGTAAATGAATCTTTCTAAGCTTTACAGAGGAGGCTATCAATGTGCTCAAGAAATCTGAAGAAAATGATTGGGAACTTCCTACAGTTGAAAATGTGTATAGAAGATATGCAGTCACATTACCTGCGCCACAGCCTGCTTACTTAGCTGATGAACTGTCTCATCATTCATAATGACTCCTACAAGGTATCAAGGATATATAGTGTAATTAATTGGTACTATATTGACTGTAATCAAGCAAGGTACTACTAGGGGGAAACCCTGTATAATTGTTGTACTGTTATTCAAATCTGGTTTATAAACCACATTATTCTAGTAAAAGTTAACTATTTGTGTGTGTTCAATTCTGGAGTCTTACAAATACTAAATAGAAACTCATACTCTTCTTGTGTTCCTTATTTTCTGCCAAGTCAGAAGGAAACAAAGCAAAACATGCACAGCAAAAATTGTTCAGCAATTGATCAGACCTCTACCAGTTAATTCCCTTAGCATAACACTCCCTACCCTAACAGACCTTAAATCAGGTCTAAAAGCATGGACAGAAATGCAAACATGAAATACAGCATGGATATGGGCATCATACAGCGTGACACAACCAAATGTAAAATGTTAGTTACTTTTGAAGTATTGGGTTGTGTCTAAAATATGTTCCAAGGTAAACAACCCCTTCAATTTAATATCTGTGCTTCAGATTAACAATGCATTTCTCATGAATTATCAGGTCAATGGATCATGTTCAGTAACGCATATCCTCCATGTCCCAAGGTCCCTAAAATGTGAGAAATAACAATTACATTCATCTATAAAAGGAACCAGCTTTAAACACCCATAATTCGACATGTTCCTTAAAAGATTCCAACTTCAAGTAACAAAGACAAATTTGATAGCATACCATCTTCTCTAACTATGCCATCATGCCCATCTGACGAATAAGGATCTAATGCAACATCTGTGTAGATAACCTGAAGAAAAATTGAATAAAATATCATATTGGCTTAACTTTCTGCATGCACCCGAAAATATAATATCCTCAAACTATGGAATTATGTTCACTTACAAGGTCTGGGTACTTATCCTTGAGCAAACGTATTGCCCGAGGCACTAAACCATTTTCATTGTATGCTTCATCTCCTGTGGGAGACTAAAGGGAAAAACTTGTTATACAAGATTGCATTGCAGTTATCCTACTGAAAGTCTAAGGTATGTAGGAGAGAAATAGAACCTTCAAAGCATCTGGAATTTTGGGGAAGAGTACAACACTATTGACACCAACATCTCGGGCCTTTGCAACCTGAAGCACAAAATGCTCACTGAAAATTACTAAACCTATATGAGTTATACAAGGTATATAGCAACAGTGATGTCACCATCACTCATTCAGTTTAGGAATATAGAAAACAAAAGGCTTTGTGTGTATGTACTCATAAGTTATAAAACTATGTAAGAGAAGGTTTCTTCAATTAATTGAACAAGCAAGCAATGTAATGGGCAGGTTCAGTATGAGAAGTAAAATACCCAAACAAAACCAGCCAGCTTTCCCCAGTATGGCATGATTCAAACTAGTCAGATGGTGAAAGGAACAATAAAATCCATTGAAACTCCTTGACCAAATTAAAATAGCATCAAACTTCTAATATGTAGCTTAAATAATACTCAATACAATGAAGTTAATCCATAAAAGTACATGCAACAACAAGGTCTTTGTTAAGATGTTCCACATTGGTTAGGAATAGAGACAAAATACTCTTTAAAAGGGCTAAAGCAGTCCTCCTCTTATGAGTTAGCTTTTGAAAGTGAGTTAGACCCAAGTTTCTTAACAGTCTTTACCCACTAGGTAAGGTCAGCTAGATGGATTTTATAATGCCATAAATGTCTGTCTTTCATAGAGTACAAAGGTAGATGATTAATGTCCTCTTGACAAGTCGACCTAATATTCTAAATAATAAAAGTACATAATAGTTTATCTCGATTATACTGGACTAAAAGTGACACAAAAGCGGAAGGATATAGCTCCCGAGACACATTGGAATAAAGTTTTGCAAAAGAAAGTTAAAAAAAATCTCCAATTAAAAACACCAGTTTATAGCAGTAGACAACTTTCATCCCCAATTCACTTATACTTTGAATGGTTTAATTAGGGATTCATTCTACTACATTTTCAAAACTCCTTTCACTTTATAAGTTTCTTTGCTAAAAATGAAGACCATTAACATAAAATCAATGCCTAAGGCAAATATGGGACTCATTTACGCTGTGCTTGAGAGTATGAGACACAGAAACAGTAGCAGATAAAAACCTCTTCTACAAGTCCATTTCTCCACCCAAGCCTGTAGCATCCAGGCATAGCTCCGATCGGAGTATCCTCTTCACCTGCAGTTTCAAACTCAAACATTCTCGTAAGTCATAATCTAAAATCAAATAATCACCATGAGGATACTATACAACTTAGTAGCTACAAATGAAAAATGGGTAAACTCCCATTCTAATCCTAAAATTGTCAGCCACCAACTTCATAATCTCTTACTTTACAAAATATCTTTCACTTTAATCCTTTCTGCTTTGTAGAAAAAGACAGTGGAAAATAAAGTTAAAAAAAAAAAAACACGAAAATGAATGACATTTTATAAAGTCCAGAACTGAAGTGAGAATTTTGTAGAATTAGGGATTTAACTATTTAAGCAACCAACTCTTGAGCACTAGAAGGGGGTTTAGTCAAAATGCATATAACCAACAAGCGCTAAGCTTCTAAGAAAGCATCACGTGCAAAAACACCAACCTTCGTGTATGAAAAGCGGGTAAACAAAATTCGCCGGAGAAATGCTCGTTTCCCGAAAAGCCGATCGAACTGCAGAAGACTTCCGGTTCCGACGAGGACGCCGGTGAAGTGGCTGATGCAAAAAAACAATAAACGAAGCCATCAAACCATTGCGTAGGAAGGTGTAGTTAGTTAGAAACAATGCACAAGACTCACAAGTGAAGGCACCACCGGCGTTCCAACCGGAGCTGCCGGTTTGGGCGGCACAGGAGGCGCCGGAGGCACGTTTCCAGCGACAACCGCAGCTTCACATTCTGAATCGCTGGCTCTCACGACGAAAAGGTGTGGACGCTGAGACTTGGTCGCAGCGCGTGGACAACAAAAGTTCAGATTCCTCGGTAGTGCTCTGAGACCGACGTAGCTCTGGCAATTCACCGCAGAGGGCGCGTTAGGGATTGTGCAAGCCATTAATTGCACTCCTAAATGCACTATCAGTGATTCTTAAACCTCTTGAAATTGAGATTGATTGAATGAACAGAATGCAGAGAGTGGAAATTCTAAGGTGAAGACGCAGTGGGATCGAAGAATTGGGGTGCAATGATAGAAGAAAATGGAAGAGGGGGTTTATCGGATGTGGGAGAATAAAGAGAACCAATGAGAAGAGAGTTGCAGGAAGAGGATAAGTGAGGAGGTACACACAGGATTCAACACTTTGCCCGAATTTACCTTTTTGTCCTCCACCTACTTAAAATTGTGCTCTGAATATAAACATATCGTTTAAATATGAATTAGGAGTGTATTAACTCACGTAGAGTATCACATACCTTTATGAGGTTTTTATTTCATTTTTTAATTATTTTATATTTAATTTTAATGCATTTAAGGTAAATAAATAAATAAAGTTGGCGGTTAGAAATGATTTCGAAAGAGTTTTTGATGGTGATTTGAGAATTTAGATAGTACAATAAAAAAAAAGTATGATAAATTTTTTTGTCCAAAATATTATCATTTTAAAATTATGGTTAAATTAAAAGACAAAACAAAGATAAAATGTTATTATTTTTTAAAAATAATTTTAAGAAATGAATTAAATTGAAAAAGGTTAAAAATTAAAGTTAAATTTCGAGCACTAAATTGAATAACAAAAATTCATCTGTTTTTGGGCCTTTAAATGGGCCCTGAAACAAACTTGGCCCATCCAAATCTCAACTCACTTACATTTTATAAAAGTAAGATAAGAGGAAGAGTACGAGTTAGATGTTTGGAGAGCAGATCCAGTGAATGAAAAAGCACGACGCCATGGGTTGAGTGAAGCCCATTGCCTTCTATTACAGTTGAGTGGAGCTAAAAAAAAATGTGTTTGTGATGAAATGTAGAGTAGAATAAATTATTATCTAATTTAGATAAATTTATCAAATATTTGTTTGAGAAAAAAGTTATATTACGAAAATGAATGAATCGAAAAATGTATAAATTAAAATTAATTTATACATCTCAACATTTTGGGGAATAAAAAACAAAATAAACTTATAATTTTAAAAAATTAATCATAAAAAAATTTGAATATTCAGTTATTGAAATTTACATTTAACCTTTTAAATGATTTACACTTGTACAAAATAATATTAGCAGTTTTGTTTAATCTTTTGACATCTTTATTAAAGAATCCTAATTCAAGCATCGAATTATAAATTATAAACTTTTATGTAATTATATAGTCGATGGCATGATTCAAAAGCGCATATGTTCACGCTTGAAAATCTTTGATGCTTATGACAAATACCGAAGGCAACCACCGATTCGAATAAGATAATAAAAGGAAGTTTCTTTAAACCTTTGTCGGTGTTACTTTTCTTGCATCGCTTGAACTTTGAAAAGTTCATATATTTGGTCCCACTAAGGTAACACACCCAGAGACATATCTCACGCGCACGAAAATTAATAAATAAATGAAAGAGTCAAAGATAATAGGTTTTAAAGTAAAATAGTTATTAATAGCATAAAAACAGTAAAATGGTAATTTAATCTTTAAATTTAATGTGATTAATTTAGTTTTTCATATTATAAATAATATTAATTAGTTTTTAGCTAATTTAATCTTTGAGCTTATAAAAAATAAATATAATTTTAAATTTAATAATTATTAATTATTTAAATCTTTAATGTTGATATAAGTTAGATAATTTAATTCACTTCAATGATTTAACTGACTGTCAATTATTAAAGTGAAAGAATAAATTTAATTTACTTTTTCATAGTGTTGAGATTTTTTTAATAGAAATAAAATAGAATAAAAATGATATATTATTTAGATGTATAGAAATAAAATAAAATAAAAAAATTACTTTCACTTGTTTAGTAAGTGAGAATAAGAATAAAATAAATAAATAAGTAATATAAGAAGTATTTTATAATATTTAAAAATAAATTTAAAATTTAAATTTTAAAAAATTTGTTGTATCTTTTTAGTGTGAATATAGAATTATTAATTTTTTTATATAGTTTTTACTATAAAATATTAATTTTTTATTTAAAAATAAAAATTAAAAACATTGCAGCTGCAATAGAGCTAGATTTCACGCTTAAGAAGGCAAAAATAGTATTGTGTGGGTCACGAAAACGTGAATATTTCAACCCTAAACTTTAGGTAGACCAAATTAGTATTAATTTTAATACTAATTTTATGAATTAAATTGATAGGTACTTTTTTTCATAGTATTTGAGTCAAATTTATGAGTGATATCATTTTGAAAAATCAAATTTAAAACAGTCATAAACTTTGATACATTATTATATTAATATTAATAAAATTTAAAAATATATATTTTAAAAAATCAAATTATATGTGTCATTTGAATAGTAAAAAAAAGAAGGAAAAATATGTGTAATTTTAAAAGGAAAAAAAATAATGAAGTGGAGCCGAAACGTGCCTATATTACACACACCTTGAGAAGGAAGAGGTCCAATCAAAAGGGAAAAAAAATATCTTTAAAGATTTTAAAACGAATTCACTTATTTTATTTTAAAAAATTACATGACAAGATTATGTTATTATCAAGGAAAAAAGATGACGGAGAAATAAAGAAAACTAAAATAATTATAATAAAATATATTTATTATTTATAGAGATTCTATTTTTTTTTTATTTCATAACGTTATGTTACCATGTTTCTTATTATCGCAAAAGAATCTAAATCTTAAAATGATTATTATAAAAAGTGTTGAACTTTTATTTTTAGTTTTATTTTTTGTCCGTTATATATCACATCATTAGATAGTATTTGGTTTGTTATGTCATATTGGGCTGCTATATTCTTAATCACTTTTTAAAGTTTCAACTCATTCCTGCAATTGCCTATCTTGGGCCCAACCAAAAAATGATTCTTATAACAAAAGACAAGCTCCATTAATCACGTTTTTGTCTGTAAGACTTTTGAAAATTTGTCATTATCCCAATTCAAATCCTATCTTTTGTTGGATATGAGGTTTGTGTAATGTTGCATTTGTCAAGCATTCACAATGTGCATCGTGTTTTGAAATATTGTAGTTATAGGTTAAGATTTTATTTTAAAAAAGGTTATAATTTATTTATTTTTTATTTTTCAAAAGTTTCTATTCTATAGTTAAACCTTAAAATCTTTTACTTACCTTAAAATATAGCAATCATTCTTATCTGTGAATTTCAACTTTAGATAGCTTTCACATCTCATTATTGTCTGTTTAAATACATTTAAGGAGCAATAAGAACCAAGTTTACCCTAAAATATAAATTAATATGTGGAGGAATTTACTGGTAATTTTCAATAACTACTACACTATCAATTGGTGAAAATTTATTATTAGCCATTTTTAAAAATCTCACAGCTCAATTTTCCAATATTTGCACGGTGATTATTCGTAGAAATCTGTTTTGTAACTATACTATTTATAAAAGTCTCAAGATAATTATTCCCAGAAAAGGTCTTAATATTTTTTTAACCAAATTTTTGTAAAATAATGAAGTAAACATTTGCAACGACACTAAACATTATTATATTTTTCTTGCTAAATGTAGCTTTCCGAAGCACCAAACACAAAAGGAAAAATAAAATAAAATTTCCCGTCCTCAAAATGTTTGTGGCATTAGCAATATACTACTAACAGGTTCGTAATTAAAAAATTAAACATAAAGAAAGCTTTTTCTTTTCGTATTATACAGGTATTTTTAAATTTAAATAAAATTTATAAATTATAAAATAAAAATGCGTAGTAATATTTGTATTATTAAAAATAATTAATATTCTATCATAAAATAAAATTAAAAAATAAATATTTTTAAAACTGAGAAGAAACTATAGAAAAGAATGAATAAAATTAAAATGCATCATGTTAATTGACATGGTGTATCAAAATTTAAAAATTGAAGTTAAATTAACATTGCTTGTAGTATAATAATTTTAAAATTTTATTTATTTAAAAACAAATACATGTTAAATTTGTCATAGTGTATAAATAAAAAATAAAATTAAATGATAAATGTGAGAGAGCTGTATGGTATAGTAAAGATAATATATAACTCATAAAATTTGTTCGTCCAAGGATAAATACTCAAATTTACAATATAAATACTTTTTTAAATATCTTTAATTAAATTGGATGTTATAAATTTTAACTAATATATTTTTATTTAATTAAATTTTCATACTTTATCTTAATATTAAAATAATATTATATTCTAGTAATTTTCGAAAATAAGACATTAAATTTCTTACTTTTATTATAATGCAGATACAATTCAAATTTTTTTTATCAATTTCATTATTTAGACTTCTAAATATTAATATTGAACGTAATATTGTATATCAAATTTTTTATTTTTTCTATCTCTCACTTATTTTTTTTATCTTATTTATGTATATGCTTTAAAAATATACTTCAAATATATGAATAAAATATCTAAGATGTCTACTCTTTAGTAATACTTTAAAACACTTTGCTTACCAGAATGGGTACCATTGTTGATGCGAGTGCAGATATGAATTTGAGTTTCTTTTTCTTAACTGTGGGTCTAAGCTCACAGACTTTAATACTTTTTTCGAATTCTCACCATTTCCATCGCGTTGGAATGTGGTTGCAATTTCAGCTTTACTCTGTACTACATACAAATAATCAAAGATTGGAACTGCGCTTGCCAACTTTATCCACCATGTTCTCTGTGTTTCAGATTCACAGTTCATGTATGATATCTCATATAAGTTTTAGTGCAATGTCTACATGATGATGGTGCAGCATCAGTCGTGAGATGCATAAATATGTTCATTCAAGATTCAGAAGTACCATTACACCTCCCAGTCAAGCATTCATTTGCTTTCAATTCTTGCGGCATGAATTGTATGTCAACTATGAAAGCTTTGGATCCATTCTTATATAATTTCGGAAAAAGAATATTATATGGAATAAATGGAATATACATTTTGCATGAATGGACAACTAGGCAATAAAAATACAGTACAACATCTTTTAGAACCAACCCTCTCGCCTCCCTTTGTGATAGTATTTAAAAAACTATCATTAAACCATAGAGAAGTTAGGTTTTAGAGTTTATAATAGATAATTTTTTTGAGTACAAATTTAAACTAATTTCTAGATGGGGATTTTGAAGATTATTCTATTCTCTCTCTCTCTCTCTCTCTCTCTCCATATATTGATATGGTCCACACGAAAGTTGTGCTTTAATTTGG